TGAAGGAAGGATGGAACAGGATTCAAAACATTTTCGTTGGTATCCTCAACCGTGGAGTATCCCCTCTTGACCCTAAAAACATGTGCCCTTGAGGGGCACAAGTCATTCAAGATGGCTGGTTGCACAATGCGTTCGATGGAAATTGCCTAGTTTTATGATTCTCCACTTATAAACTTGGACGCGAATGCCAATGTATAATACATAGCTCTGTAGCCGTTTATGGATTTTATGGTGGCTATACTGACTGTGTAAAGCCTGTGGCCACCGAAACAGCTGATACATATCAGTTGATGTGAACTGAGTCAGATTGGCCCAATCCCACACAAGACTGCTGCATGTTGAAGAGTCAACCTACACGGACTGGCAAGTGCTTAGTGACTACCAACACACTTCTCAGTGGGTTCAAAGTCCTTACTTCTGGGTCTTGTAAAGCCTCAACTTAACCAGCCACTAAGGTCTATGTGAGGAGTATTTCCCACCACCCTGAGCTCAATCCTGTCCTGACCAACAATGCCGCTGGGTTCGGACGAACACCTGGCAAATAACCCAACACGTACCAAACATCTCCAGGTGGCGAAAGCTTCTTGTTACTAGTAGCGATTAGCGATGGCCTCCAACCTAATAGCGATGGCTTCCAACCTAATGGCGATGGCCTCCAACCTAGTAGCGATGGCCTCCACCTAGTAGCTTCTAGCTATTAGTAGCTTCTTGCTGCTAGTTGTCCTGTTGAGAAATCAACATCTTTTCCTCTGCACGAGGGGTCTTCTCCTGGAGGCCAAAGTCACGTCAGGTTGAAGGCAGTGCAATCCACTGGAGTTGGAGAACAGCTCGCCCGAACAGCATCAACACGCAAACATGCATGCTGCATGGTAATCAACCTAAAACCTAGAGATGAACGGTAGCATGGAGTGGATGAATGAAAGAAGTATGTGGGAAATGACCAAAATTGGAGGCATTGTTGGATATGATTTGGACGGCCCCAAAAAGTTCAATTTCCAGGGTGTCGAAAAAATACAGTGAGTACCATTACAACTATAGCTATATACCATTATGCATGATCGGCAAAAGACCTGGAGATGAACGGTACCATGCAGGGGTGTTCCATGTTTCATTGTGCTGTCTCAAAAAAGCACCTGGAATGCGGGCATTCTGATCGTCCCGAAGCGACCTAAATCTGAAAACATTCGCTGTTGTATACATATATATATATATATAAATATACATATATATTTGGGTTCTATCCTAATACCTGCAACAGTGGATGATGATGGTTAGTAAAGGCCTTGTTTACTGACTGTTGCAGGTAATAGGACAGGCCCCATACATATACATATATGTATATATATATATGCAAACTGAAGTATGACGCAATCCAACAGTGGGTAGACATGTCCACGACAAATCCGAGCATGTCCTGGATCTGAAGAGATTCCTCTCAGACTGATCTTGATTCACCAGCGCATGATCTGACAAGCACAGAACATATCATTGGGCCGGCATGCTGTTCACTGCAATCACCTTTGACAGAAATGCTACCTTTCTAGCTTCAGGAGTCCTCTTGTTCCTGTGCAAACGTGGACGCAATCGCCCGGCTCGCGCCCTCCTCTCAGCCGGAACCCGTGCACCTGAAGCCATGGGACACCTGGCAATAGAGTTCAGGAGAAGCCTGTGGACTGGTGCCCATGACGCTTGTCTCTGGGAATGGCTTCTTGCCGCACAAGAAAAGGGTGAGGGAAGATTCTTTAGGCTTACAGCGGCTTACAAACAATATCAAACAATCGTCCATCAGTTCCAACCAGTATATATATATATAAATAGGCACGCTGGAATTAACACACTCCAGAAAGCAATCTCGGTGACGGGCCAACAACTGCACATTTCCCTAAACACATTCCTTGAATTCGCTTCACCATCAAAAGATTGGGAACTGAACGTTTCCATCGTGAGACAAACAAAGATCAACTACGTTCAGTTTCGCAATTTATTGTGACCCAATGAAGTGCAGTAGCATGACAATCCTCCCGAAGCTAACACGTTGCCCACCAGGAATTAGCAATAGCTAGTTTAGTCCAAATGATGGTGCCTTCAAAGCCCAGCCCAGCTAACGTTGCACATGGCCTCTTAAGTGGACAAAGGAACACGCTCAAATTCCACAACCTGGCTCCTCTAGGTACAGGTGGTGTGTGAGCAGCCTGCAGCCAGTTTCCTCATCTACCACAGTGAAACAAACCCAACAGGTTCCCTCCACCCTCCCACCTGGTGCAAATCACATCTCCTGAAAAGTACCGTCCGTATATGTCCGTATACCCGCGTTCCTCAGTTCCTCACAACATCGAAGCCACTTGGCAAGTAGGGAGTTTTGAGAATCGCACCTATCTCGGTCCAATAAGTTTTAAATACACCAACAATAGCTACAAAACACATCAAAACACCAATATTGTTCCTTCCAGTCGTCTAATGTTCATGCACAATGAGGAGACAATTCGTCTTTTTTGAAATTTGTTGAAGGACTTTCCCACAGAGATCTTCTACTGGATGTTGCTTGTGTTGCTTCTCATACCAAACACACTTCGAACTTGGGTTTTCAGTTAACGCAATTGTCTCAATGGG